CGGCAGGCCCCGGTCCTTGACCTCTCGAGTTTCAGCGGCTTGGCTGTTTGATGAGGGGACCCTGGAGATTGGATCTGGCCGGAGACTGCGGCAGCTGGAAGCTGGGTCTTGGCCGCCGAGCCCGAAGCCCTTTTCCATTTCATTCATTTGAAGCTCATGAGGGAAACCGCAACAGGACCCCGCAAACGTCATGTTTTTTTTTTTTTTCTTGCGGTGCGTCTGGCCCAAAGCACTTGAACATTTGGTCAGTCAGCTGAACAGGTGAGAATAGGATTTTTGGATGGCCGACGGGAATCCAAAATGGAATCCACCCTCAATTAGATACGGGCTCTCGTTGCAGGGCGCGCCTTGAAGGGCACCAAAACGAAAACGCACATTATTCCCCAACGGCTAGATCCTTTGGCCGTCAACGCTGTTTATTTCGGGCCCCTACTTGGACACATCTCCACTTACAAAACGTCCCTTTCACCTTGTGGGACGGCCGTCATAGGCTCCTTCCCAAGGGTCGGAGTTTGCGATAGCGACGAGTTTTTGTTGAGTGAGTGGGTTTGTCTCAAATTAGTGGAACTCGCAAAGTTTGTGTGTTCCTTTTGGTTCCTGTTTACAACAGGCAAGAAAGGTTAGCATCAAAAAGGACAAGCCCGCATTTTCATTGTCCTCCACCATCCTCAAACCAACCGCCCAATGAATCTCCCATGAAAGATGAACTAAGGGCCGGGGACGAAACAAAATGACCACCAACAAGGGGTGTCTCCCTGTCCAAAAGAGTAGTGTTAAACGGGGCACCAGCAAACCGCTTGATCCTCGCCTTTTGCCGCATCCGCACGCCCAAGGAAGAGCCAGCGACGGTGACCTGTGGGGCACCCCAGTCAGCCGCCAACATGAACTCGAGGTCCCATGTATAGGTTTGGGCAACTTAAAGTCTACCTCTGATTAAGAACTACCCCCCCCCCAACACAACTCCCTCCCCCAAACAGTTCTCCCATCTTGACTATGAATAGCTAAGTATTGCTCACAGATTTGTCATGTTTCAACTGATTTTGTATAGCTGGAGCCTCCTTTTGAGATTTGATTTTGGTTTCCATGTTGTTAAGTATTGGCGCAATTGAGTTTTCAATTGATTTAATATTGCTGGAGCTTCCTTTTGAGATTTGACTTGAGGGATTTGAGTTTCCAGTTGGGGCCTCCTTTTGAGATTTGACTTGAGGGATCTGAGTTTCCAGTTGATTTAGTATTGCTCTTGCTGGAGCGTCCTTTTGATTTTTGATTTGAGGGATTTGAGTTTCCAATTGATGTACTATAGCTGGTGGCATTTTTTGGGCGGGGACCAGGAATCTTTATTTAGGGGGGCCGTGAAAAAATATATTGTTCAACCGGCAAGTACTCCCCCCGGATTGTAGGGCTGATTAGGGGCCACTTGTTCAACAAGAGTATGTAAAGAACATACTTTTTGGGAGCTGATATTCTTTGGGGATTACCAAAGCTACATGACTGATATCATAGGAAGCACACTTTAGGGGAAACCTTTCAACGATTGTGTTTTTTACAACATTGATGAGGCTGGCGGGTGTGTGTGTGTGTGTGGGTGCGGGCGTGCGTGGGTGGCTGGCTGGCTGGCTGGCTGGCTGGCTGGCTGCCTGGCTGGGTGGCTGGGTGGGTGTGTATGTGTTGTTTTTTTTGTTTTGTTTTTCTTTTTGCGGGTGTGTTTGAATTCCCCGCCGAGAAACACATAACTTGATTTCGGGGGGTTAGTCAGTGCTGATCCACAACATAGCTTCATTCGGGGGAGGTTTGTTAATCGTAGGTCGAAATTTCAACGAGCTTGCTTGGAGGTAAATCAAGCTCACCCCTTGGTGAAGTTGCCTTACCAGGGATTCATTTTTCACAGATCATGTTCACAGGTCAATTCGTTCGAACCCCCTCCCGCCCAAGCGGTTTTGTTCGAAATGCTTTCGCCCTCAAACCTCACGCTCTCAGAATCTCAGAATGCATTTTCTTCCCCGGGGGCAAGGGTGCACACGACCTGTGTCGATCGCCTTCAGTTGGGTTCTGGGACACGTCTACATGTGCAGCCGAGATATGCTGAACAGTGGACACGCGACTGGTGCGGTGCCCGGCTCCAGTGGCCGGAACCGCGAACTGTTCATAAACAACAGCGAGGAGGGAGCGAGGGTACGACCAAGCGCCTGAGCTCAAGAAATGGCTGGACGCGGTGAGTGCCGGCAACAGCGGCGTGCTGAACAAGATGCGGACTGTTCCGAGGGTCAGGCCCCAGACGAGGCATCACCGTCACTGCTCTTTGTGGACAGCGACCGATGCAAACTTGCCCAAACAAGTGGGAAGCAGGTTTGTTGGTGCTTTGAACGGCAACCGTTTGTTGTGAGTGGTTATTTTACGGTAAGAGGGAGAGAGAGACAGAGAGAGAGAGAGAGAGAGAGACACGTAGAGAGAGAGAGAGAGTCAGCACGCAGTCTGCGCAAATTATAACGAGCTCACCCAG